CTACTACTACTACTACTACTACTACTATATACTACTACTACTGCTACGGCTACACTACTACTACTATTACTACTGATATTACTTCTACTGCTACTACTATTCTACGACGATCCTACAACTTACTGCGCCCTACCTACCACTACTACTACTATTACTACTGAATACTTCTACTACTGCTGCTACTGCTACTACGACGACTCCGACTACTATTACAGGACTACTAATACTAATAAACTACTTACTACTACGACCACCACCAACGGACCATACTACGTTGCCATTACGCGACATCACAAAAAAAAACGAATACTTACGGGACTACTTATTTATCAGTACTGATACTACTACCTACTACTTATAATAACTACTACTGCTGCTGCTACTACTACTACTACTACTACTACCACTACTACGACTACTACTAGTACTGCTTTCTTTACTACTACTACTACTACTACTACCACTACTACTACCACTACTACTACTACTACTACTACTCCTACTACTACTACTACTACTACTACTACTACGACGACTACTACTACTACTACTACTATAACTACTACTAATACTATTACTACTCTGAGCGCTACTACTAGTACTACTACTACTACTACTACTACTACTACTACTACTACTACTACTACTACTACTGCTGCTACGACTACTGGTATAACCTTTACTGCTACTACAATTCGAACTACTATTCTTACTACTGCGACTACTACTACGACTACTACTACTACTACTACTACTATTACTACTACTACTACGACTATCATTATTACCAAGATTATTACTATGCATCGTATTATTTAGGTTATGCGACCACTACTACTGCAGCTACTTCTATTCCTGCGGTTACTACAACGACTACTACTCCTACTACTACGACTACTACTACGACTACTACTACTATTACTTCTACTACTACGACTACTACTACGACTATTACTTTTACTACTACTACTACTACTACGACGACGACGACGACTACTACTACTACTTCTACTACTACCACTACTACTACGATTGCTGCTACTATTATATCTACCACTACGACGACGACTACGATTACTACTACTACGAGTCCGACTACGACTACGACTATCACTACGTCTACAACTACTACCCCTGCGATTTATACTACGACGACACCTACGACTATTTCTTTATTACGAAGAGTCGTACTGCTGCTACTGCAACTACTACTATCAGTACTACGACTATACGACTATTATCAGTACTACTATTACGAGTACTACTACTACCACTACTACAACTACTTCGATTATTCTTACCACTCTAACTATTACTCGTACTACGACTACGACTACGACTACTATAAGCCCACTACCAGTGCTACTATGACTTACTACGACGATTACGACTACGACCCACTACTATCAGTAGTACGATCATTGTTCTTGGTACCGCTACTACTACTACTATTACTACTACTACTACTACTATTGCGACTACTACGACCACCAACACTATTACGACCACTTCTATTACTACGATTACCACATCTACGACTACTAACTACTACTACTACTACTACTACTACTACTACTACTACTACTACTACTACTACGACTGCTACTACTACTACTACTACTACTACTACTGCTACTTCTTCGACTACTACGACTACTACTACTACTACTACTACTACTACTACTACTACTACTACTACTACTACTGCTTCTACTACCACGACTACTACTATCAAATCTGTTACTGCTACTACCACTACGATTTCGATTACTAATATTACTACTACTACTACTAGTACTACTACTACTACTACTACTACTACTACTAACGACGACTAATATAATACTACTACTAATATACTATTTTACTACTATACTTTACTTACTACGCTACGATACGACTACGATACTACATTATTGTTACTACTAATTTATACTGCTGCTACTACTACTTACTATTAGCTCCACGGACTACTTCTACTTCTACTTCTTCTACTTACTACTACTACTACGACGACCTACTATAAAATAATATTAATGCGATTACTACTACTACTACGAAAATTACTACTTACTACTTACTAACTACTACTATACTGCTAATACTACTACCGTACGACTACACTACTACTAATACTACTACTACTACTACTACTGCTTGTTCTAATTACTACTACACTATTCGACTTAATACTACTTCTTAATAATACTACTACTACGATCTCGCTTCACTATCACTATACTACTATACTACTACTACTACTACTACTATAATATTATGCTACTTTATACTACTACTACTACTTACTCTACTACTACTGACTACTATTACTACTACTTACTCCCATAAGACTACTGATCTACTACTACTACTATTATACTACGACTTACGACGACGACTTACGACTACGAACTACTACGACTATTCACTACTACTACTTCTTACTACTTATTACTACTACGACGACTACGACTACGACTACTACTTACTTTATTACTAATATTTCCTAACTTTATTGTTACTACTGATTTTCTATTTTGCTTAATATGTTCATCGTTTTGTACATACTTCTACTGACAGTAGTGTCCAGTGGTATTCTCTCTGCTACTACTGGACGTGCGCTGCGACCTACTTCTACTTACTCCACTTCCATACCCTACTAATACTACTACTACTTACTACTACTACTACTTACTACTACTACTACCACTACCACTTCTACTACTACTACTACGACTACTACTACTATTACTGCTACTACTACTACTGCTACTACTACTACTACTACTACTACGATTATTATTACTACTACCACTACAATTTTTACTGCTACGACTACTACCACTACTGCTGCTACTACTACTACTACTACTACCACTACTGCGACTACTACTACGACTAATCCTACTACTACTACTACTACTACTACTACTACTACGACTACTACTACTACTACTACTACTACTACTACGGCTACGACTACTACTACTACTACTACTACTACTACTACTACTACTACCACTACTACTACTAATAATAATAATATTATTATTTCTAGTACTACTACTACTACTACTACTACTACTACTACCACTTATGCGACCACTCGTGCTGCTGTTGTATTCCTACTACTAGCACCAGCACTAGTACGACGACTACCACAGCCACGATTACCTTTACGACTACAACAACTACTATTACAACTACTACTAAACGCAGGGAGGAGGGGGGAGGAGGGGGAGGAGGAGAGGAGGGGAGGAGAAGGAACGCGGGGCGACGTCTCTTCAAAACGAAGACCCAACAGCACGGGATGGTTGGTAGAAAACACGTTTGGCCGAACAGTTTTGTTTGAATCAATCAGGTTCACGTTCTAAGAACAGCGCGCGTGCTCTTAAGACATCATCTTGCTCTGAAAGGTTTTCGTAGTAGGACTTTAGCATTGCCAAGACAGAGGGCTCAGGGGGTTGCTGGGAGTGAAAAGCGCTTGTTAGAAACATCGCTGCTTCTTAGAAAGCGCGGGCCTTCTCTGCAGATGCAGGGCCAGCGCCTTCTGAGAGAAAGCCTCCTGCTGAGAAGCCTCCCACCCTCCCCCTTTTATCCCCGTTTGTGCGCGCCGCCAACCTATATAAACGTTGGGACGGTCCGTCCTCGCCCAGCCTTCCGCCGCTCCTTCCCAGCGGCGAGGGCCGATCGCGCCGCCGCCGGCGCGCAGGCCTCCGAGCGGGAGCCGTTGGCCGCCGCGTCGCTGGCGGCCGCTGGGGCGAGCACGGTGGTGGTGGGGTGGGCGCAGCAGGACTGCCCGAGGAGGAGGAGGAAGAGGGGGGGGGAGGGGGGAGGGGAGGAGGACGGGGATGAGGA